GGAATCCTGAATGCCACGCACAGAACAGAAATTATACCCCAGATGATCTGTGCTGTATTTGCAAGGACACGCTCCGTCTCCAGGATCTGAGTTATGTCCAACACAACCTAATGGACATCTCACCCAGGGCCACCTGTAGCATATGTTTTGATGCTATAAGGACTGTTACACACACACATGTTACTATTTCAGGGGCACAGTGAAAACTCAGAGGAAGGGAGAGAGAATGGTTTGTGCAGTCCCTACCAGGAGGATGCTTTCCCAGGCCATCCAACGTATGGGCAGTACAGCTCTTCCCTGGATACGGTAGTAATCCCCACTGTAAAGATTCCTGCTCATGCCAAAGTCTGCAATCTTGATGGTGTAGTTGTTCCCCACCAGGCAGTTGCGAGTTGCCAGATCTCTGTGCACAAAATTCAGAGATGCCAAATACTTCATTCCAGAGGCAATCTGGGTGGCCATGTACAGCAGGTTAGAGTAGCTGCATTAAAAGAAAACAAAACGAAGAAAAATCAGCGAGTTCCCCACACTCGACTCTTCCTTGTGTTTGATGTATGACAGTGACCTATCATTTTTGTTTTTGCCATAACAGTGAAACTAAACTGTCTAGTTTCAGGGCACTAACACCCCCACCTGCCAGGCTAAGCCAAGTTCCTGAGCTGACGAAGCAAGAACAGACAAGCTGTCCCTGAAATTCAGGGCGCTTAGAATTTGACATCCCTTAGATTTTTTTAAATAGCAAGCATTAATCTCAAGATTTTCAAAGAGTTTATGCATCAAAGCACCAACTTTTTGCACAGAGACATGAAAAATTAAGCTGTACAATCTCAGAATCTCCTACCTAAAAAACTGCTTAGCTTGATATTTCAAACACTGGTGCTATCGTATGCTTACATTAATATGTCACTTAACATTAAAGAGAGCTTACTTTTTTTAATGTTTAATATTATTGACAATATCAACAGGTGCATTTTCCATCTAATATAATTTTAATTCCCCCATTAGCAAAATGAAGATAATAAAGTTGCATGATACACAGACAAAGTTTGGACCATCTGACTTTCAGCATTCTTCACACACTATTATTCTGTGATGCTCAGCTTGTTTCCCGCTGTGTGCTCAAATGCTTCACTCAATCAAGCATTTGTCACAACAAATCTAATAAACTGTTCACGGTTAGTATTTCTCTGATAAAGCTCAGAAAAAGAACGTCTTAGTCTCCTCCTCTATGTGTTCTGGTCGCAATAAGAAAAGCACTACCATGTTATCTAAATTACAATAATGTAATGCATCTAATGATAAAAGATCCAATCTATCTGTTCTAATCAATAGCTAAGCTATCGCTACAGAGATTCTGAGGCAGCCCCTCGCCCCAGCAGAGCACTGGCAGGAGGGTCTGGGCACCACTTCCCTCCCAGCCTTTCAACATGGTGAACACCACAACTCACCTAGGTGACACCTAGCCCAGTCCCACAGTCAGCTCAATGTTTCTCTTGATCTGAGCGGACCTGTTGTGCCCCCAGAGAAGGAACTGTGCCACCCACTTGTACCTTGTTAACCTGGTTGTTGGCTTTTCACACAGGAGCAGGCACAGCCTCCAGACCCAACCTTCTCCCTTCCCCCTGCTCAGCTCCAGTTGTCTCCCTCCCTGGGGCTGTTGCTCTTCCCATTCAAGAAGCCCTGTCTCCCCTGTCCCACCCGCACCCTGGCAGGATCCCATCAGCAGCTACCAGTTGGCTCATACAGAGGGGCAGGACAGGAGACACCTCTCAGCGGACTCATCTTCATGATTTGCTAGATAGCCAGAGAATCATAGAATACTTTGGGTTGGAAGGGACCTCTAAAGGTCATCTAGTCCAACCC